GATAGGAAAGCGCGGAGAGGGGTGACGTGAGAGGGGGAGACGGGGGAGCTGCAAGGAGTGGTGGGAGAAAGTTTTGGGGCAGACTGAAGAGCGGTGTGTTTTGGTAGAGGTGTCGGAGTGAGAAGGGGGAGAGCGGAAGGAAATAATGAGGGGAGAGGGCGCGGGAGAAGGGACGAGAGAGGAGAGATAGAAGAAAGAAAACATTAAGTGATAGTAGAGAGAAAGTAAAAGAGGAGAGGGAAGAGACGAGAGAGGGGGAGAGAGGGACGAGAGGAGAAGAGGGGGAGAGGGGCAGAAGAGGGAGCAGAGAGAAGAAGAGTATGATGAGTGGAGAAATATTCAAAGACAGAGAAGAGGAGACGAGACGATGAGAGAAAGAGAAGAGAGAGAGAGAGAGACCGAGAGAGAAGACTGGAAGAGAGAGAGAGAGAGAGAGAGAGAGAGAGAGAGAGACATAGAGAGAGACAGACAGAGAACACCGAGGCGAGCCCGAGTGAGGGGAAGAGAGGCGAGGGGAAGGGAGGGGAGGGCGGCTGCTGAACGGAGGAGGAGCCGGCCCGGAGTTGCTGACTCGGCTGCGGCAAAGCACAACACCCACAGGCCCGCCTCGCCTCACAGCCCCCGACTCTCCTGGCGACTGAGTTGACTGAAGGTGTCGCCCGGGTTCAGGATGGGGCTGAAGCGCATGAAATAGGTCGGGTAGGGAGTGCAGGATGGACGGAGTGCAGATACGAATGGGAAGAAAATGTGGGTATATAAATATGAGTGCAGATACGAATGGGAAAAAAATGTAGTATATAAAATGAGTGCAGATTGGGTAATATGTGCAGATACGAATGGGAGGAAATGTGGGTAAATGAGTGCAGATACGAATGGGAAGAAATGTGGGTATATAAATGTGAACAATATACGTAATCAAATACCTTCGCTTCCCCTGAATACATTATCCAGAGGTACTAGGATGCAGACACATGGGTGCAAGTATGCATGCGTATGTATGTGCGCGCGCGTGTGTACATGTCCCTACCCTCCTATACACAAAGATGAAAAAAAAAACGAAAAAAGAACATACCTAATTTACTCTAAAGAAAAAAACAAGAAAATAACAACAAAAATGAATAAATAAAAACCTCAACCTGAAAGAGGGAAACCCCCCTTCAGGACGGAGCCCCATCGCCCCCTCAACCGGCCACCAACCCCCAAAATAGCCCCGTATCTCTCACATGCACATTTCAGGCCCGGTTGAGCGACAGCAGCTTCCCCAAGGCCACAGGTCGTCGGTCGTACTTACGGTTATCTCTATCCAAGATGATAAGCGTGTAAGCAAATGTGTAATCAGTATGATATTAAGGCTACGTAGCCTCTCAGGCCACTCGCTTTATAGTCATGCTTATCATTGAGTGACCTGTTCGTCTATGTAGATTTGTGTGATTAAGCTATACACTATACAAATAGGAATATAAAGATAAAATAACAAGATTTATGTGTATAATATATAAATATATATATATATATATATATATATATATATATATATATATATATATATATATATATATATATATAATCTCTTACATTTACATTTTTTTATAATCAAAATATATGTAATCTGTAAATATAATTAACTTGTATCATAACCATAGAATCATGAATCCTCAACCATTACCATCAGAACCAGAATGACAATATCCAATGCAGGACAATAACAGCTGGCAGAAGGCAGACGCGACTGTCATTCAGAAAGAAGTGGAAGTGGAAGGAAGAGTGAAGGTGGAAGGAAGAGTAAGTGGAAGAGGAGTGAAGGTGAAGGAGAGTGGAGTGAAGGAGGAGTGAAGGTGGAAGGAAGAGTGAAAGTGGAAGGAGGAGTGAAGGTGGAAGGAGAGTGAAGGTGGAAGGAGGAAGTGAGGTGGAAGGAGGAGTGAAGGTGGAAGGAGGAGTGAAGGTGGAAGGAGGAGTGAAGGTGGAAGGAAGAGTGAAGGTGGAAGGAGGAGTGAAGGAGGAGTGAAGTGGAAGGAAGAGTGAAAGTGAAGGAGTGAAGGTGAAGGAGAGTGAAAGTGGAAGAGAGTGAAGGTGGAAAGGAGGAGTGACTGAGGAAGGAGTGAAGGTGGAAGAAAGAGTGGAAGGACTGACGGAGGACACGAAGGCGCAGGAAGGGAGAGAAAGAAGAGAGAAATAGGGAAGGAAGGATAGACAGAAGATGGAGGGGAGAGAGGAAGGATGGGATAGAAGGGTGGGTGGATGGATGGGAGGAAGGTGAAGTAAAGAAACGAGAGGATAAAGGGTTTAAAGAATAATAGAAGAGAGAAATACAGACAGCAACACAATACACAGCATTCTATCTCTCTCTCTTCTCTCTCACCCACTCACATTCATCCACCCACAACCCCTCACTCACACCACTTACCCCCTCAATCACCATCCACCCACTCACTTACCCCTCACTCACCCACCCACCCACCGACTCACTCATCCACCACCCACTCACTCACTCATCCACCCAATTACTCACCCACCCCCTCACTCACTCACTCATGTACAACCACCCACTCATCCCCACCCATCCACTCACTCATCCACCCAATTACTCACCCACTCACATTAACCACCCAACCACCCACCCACATTCACTCACCACCCACTCATATTCACTCACCCCCCCTCACACACCCCCACCCATCCACTCAGGCCAAGCAGCATCAGCACCCAAGATTCCAAGGGCCTCGCGACGCCACCCCAGCACAGGAGAACGGAAGGCTGAAGCTCTCACCTGCTGTACCTCTGCGGTGGTCGAGCGGAAGAGCTCAATGTAGCGCGAGCCAATGATCTCGCGGTGCTTGGCCAGGGCCTTGGAGCTGTCGTCCTCGGAGGCGAAGAGCACGAAGGCGTCCCCGGTGGCGCGGCCGTCGGGCTTGCGCACGAAGAGCACGCCGTCCTCGTTGTCCAGGATGTGGCAGCCGTTGTCGCCGGACTCGAAGAACTCGACCTGCGGGAGGAGGGGGGCGGGGCGAGGTCAAATTGGGTCAGAAATCACAGGAGAATGATAAATAAATAGATATAATCAGGAGAAATAAATGAATAGATATAATCACGTTTGCTTGTCTTAGTTACATGAATAGCTATTATTTTTTAAAAATTAATTTATGGGGGAAATAAATGCATGAGCTATTCAAAATAACGGCAGGGGCAAGGTCAAAGTAGGTCAAAAATCATAGAAAGAGATTAATAAATAATTTATCATATATGATCATCACTGCCTGTCTTAATTACATGATAAGCTTTTAATTTCCCCGAGTGATTAACAGGAACTTTTTTAAAACTGACACGTTTATTGAGACAAACAAATAAACAATAAATAAATAATAATAATAACTCTCAAAAGGATGAGGTAACTTATCCTCACATTCTCATACAAAATTTAGGTATAAAACAAAAAAAATATACATGGAATACTTAAAATTACAAAAATACAAACATTCAGAGTCACTGGTTTACACATCGGTAGAGTGATACAACACGAGCTTCCACCCTCGTCCTGATTAAGCCCCGAACGCAATCAAACAGACAAGCTAATCGAAGCCAAGACCCACTGAAATCTCGACATCATTCACCCAACACGGATTAATTCAGCCGCGTGCAACTCCCTCTGTGGGAAGAATGCGACTGCTCGAGCTCTATCTGTTAAGGCCTTCAGACCCCAGTCGTTGTGCAAAGAACAAACATCTCTGTCCTAAGCAATTGCAACGTGAAAAAACAGCAACAACAACAACAACGACAGTCGTTGTGCAAAACAAACTCTCTAAAGCAATTGCAACGTGAAAAAACAGCAACAACACAACAAACAAAAAGAACAAGCAATTGCAACGTGAAAAAAACAGCAACAACAACAACAACGACAGTGCAAAGAACAAACATCTCTGTCCTAAGCAATTGCAACGTGAAAAAAACAGCAACAACAACAACAACGACAGTCGCTGTGCAAAGAACAAACATCTCTGTCCTAAGCAATTGCAACGTGAAAAAACAGCAACAACAACAACAACGACAGTCGTTGTGCAAAGAACAAACATCTCTGTCCTAAGCAATTGCAACGTGAAAAACAGCAACAACAACAACAACGACAGTCGTGTGTCTCTGAAGCAATTGCAACGTGAAAAACTCGTTGTGCAAAGAACAAACAATCTCTGTCCTAAGCAATTGCAACGTGAAAAAAACAACAACAACAACAACAACAACAACGACAGTCGTTGTGCAAAGAACAAACATCTCTGTCCTAAGCAATTGCAACGTGCAAACAACAACAACAACAACAACAACAACAAAAAACGACCCTGATCATCGCAAATCGGTAAAGAAAAATCGATCGTCGTCTATCAATTTCGTGTACGTATGTATGTATATATAAATATGTTACATGTAAACTAATCTCCACGTCACCTGTCTCTTAATTAAATACCTAATTCATCACTGTACTCAGACGGTACCCTTGCGGGGGGGGGGGGGGGCGGATAAAGGGGGGGGGAGATGGAGGAAGAGAAGGAAAAGAAGAGGTGAGGAGGGGGAAGAAGGGAGGTGGAGGAGGGGGAGGAAGGGAGATGGAGGAAGTGGAGAAAAAGAGAGAAGTGGAAGTGGGAGGTGGGGAAGCGTTAAAGGAGAGATAGAGAAGAAGGAGGAGGAGGAAGAGGAGGAAGGAGGAGGAGGAGAGCATCTAAGAGAAAGAGGAGAGAGGAGAGCAGCATCTAGAGAAAAGAGGAGGAGGAGGAGGAGGAGGAGAAAGCAGCAGCTAAGAGGAGGAGGAGGAGAGAGGAGGAGGAGGGGGGGGTATTGTATGCTATCTCTCTCTCTCTCACAGCTATCAGTCACCAGAAGAAGGCGTTTGTCAGCAATGAATCTCTCGACAGTCGTGCCGCTCGCCCCTTGCTCCTCAGATAACTCAAAAAACGAAAAAGAAAGAAAGAAGGAAAATAAATAAAGAAAAATGAAAGGAGTAAAGAAACAGAATTAAAGAAGGAAAAATCCGACTTTTAGGACAATCCATTACACTTGACCTTTTGTTCTTTAATTGCGACTGAACAGATATAAAAAAAAAAATGCCACGCTACTTGATCAAAATCCAGGCACAAATACATAAAAAATGAATAAAACAAAAATTAATTGAATATGTAAACAAGTCAAAAAATGAGTATAAAAAAGCACACAAAAACGGCATTCCAGTAAGTAAAAACGCATAAAAACAACAAAAAGGTAAGACAAGTACCTTTTTTTTAATCCCAGTTGAAAAGAAAGAAAGAAAGAAAGAAAGAAAAAAAATCGCGCAAATTCTTTTCAACAGTATCAGCAATTAAAAAATAGATAAAATAATAAAAATAATAATAATAACAATATTAAATCAATAAAAAAACGCCTAACATGCAGCGACCGCGTCCCCCTGGAGTGTTCAAAGGGCTCATAATCAGGGGCTTTATCTCCGCCACTTTTGGATAACGTTAAAGTCGGTGTTTTTTTTTCTTTCTTTTTTCAAATACGATGATAAGTTACCATCCTATTATCAACAAGCGTTATTTTTATCTTTTTTTTTAAGGCAGTATGAAGTGATTTTATCTCTTAACGGTCTTACCATTCGCGGTTACTGAAGCCTAAGCAAATTAGATTGGAGAAAATCACATAGATTGATGAATAATAATGACAATAACCATAACAACAGTAATAATACCACCAATGATAATAGCAATTGAGAATAACACAAACAGCAATAAAAAGCAATACCAATAGTAGTAGTAGTAGTAGTAGTAGTAGTAGTAGTAGTAGTAGTAGTAGTAGTAGTAGTAGTAGTAGTAATAATAATAATAATAATAATAATAATATAATTAATAATAATAATATTAATAATAATAATAATAATAATAATAATAATAATAATAAAAATAATAATAACAATTATTATCATGATGATGATAATAATTATAACTAATAATAATAGTAATAATAATGAAAAAAATAAAATACAAAAAAATTACACAATCCCTTTCGACCTAGATACAATTAACCCCGTTATCATACGATAATCTGAACTGTAAACCTCTTCCACGTCTCTTCAAAACAACAACAAATAAAGAGAAATCTGTCGAAAGAAAATATCAGTGCAGGTTCCGCGCAGCCTCGATTAATCCATCGAAATCTGGATGAGATTATTCAACCCTCAAATCTCGATCTTGTATCAAAGAGCTATCTTAATTAACCATAAGCCTACTACTGATTGTGCATTGCTCTTAAAAGGCCGTGCTATCAAGCTGGTGGCGGGGTTCGTAGGCTACGGCAATCAAATTTACTTCTGTACAACTCTGGTGGTGGTGGTGAGTGGTGTTGAATGGGGATGGTGATTTTTTGGGGTGGTGGTGAGTGGTGTTGAATGGGGATGGTGATTTTTTGGTGGTGGTGGTGAGTGTGTTGAATGGTGAGTGGTGAATTTCGGTGGTGGTGGTGAGTAGTGATGGTGAGTGGTGTTGAATGGGGATGGTGAATTTTGGTTGTGGTGGTGGTCGGTGGTGGTGGTGAATGATGGTGTTAGTCTTGGTGGTGGTGGATGGTGGTGGTTTTAGTGGTGGTGGTGGGTGGTGATGGTGGTGAGTGGCGGTGTTGGTCTTGGTGGTGGTGAATAGTGGTGATGATGATGGTGAATGGTGGCGGTGATAAACGATGGTGGTGATGATGAATGATGAAATGACGAAGAGGATTCAAGGAGATAGTAATGATGACTATCTAATTTGGCGATGGTGATGACAAATTATAATAACAAGCACTTTTAACGATGATAAAACTCCTACATCACAATACAAACAAAATCCTCAATACTACGAATCCTAAAAAAAAAAAAAAAAAAAAAAAAAAAAAAAAAAAAAACGAAGCCCACAAACTCGTCAACTTCTCTTTCCTTTCGCCAGTAAAATAATAATAATTAAGAGTAACATTCACTGCCCAAATAAAAAGGTCATTGGAACAGTAATAAAAATAAATGAACATCGTAATTAATTTCAAGTCCGTAAGCGATAATGAAGGCTTTCGACCTCATTATCACACCTGTCGTGGGTACAGACGGATTACAACAGATTTCAGAAATTATTAGTTTTTATTCTTATTATTTTTTTTTTTGGAAAACTACCGCAGCTCATCCATAAGTACCCCCCCCCCCCATCGCTGCTAACATACCATCAAAAAATCCAAAAAAAAAAGTCAGATTCGCGCGAATTAAGTAGAAGGAATAAAGGAGAAATGATAAAAAAAATAAATGATAAAAAAAAACACCAAGTTGACACAAACAGGCAACCGCTCCCTATCAAAGGCTCCCCCCCCCCATCATACCCTGAAACAACAACGACCTTATCTCCTTGATAAAGAAAAAATAGAGAAGGGCCATACAATGGAATTACGAACTTTAAACTAACGATTTTTTTTTAATTACGATATTTTTTTTTAATTACGATTTTTTTTCGAACTTTTTTATTTTTATTACGAACTTTTTTTTCTTCACGAATACAGTCAAACTTACGCTTTGGACGCATATATACGCAGATAAACACGGCAGGTGAGTGTATACTACATGTATGTATATCATAGGCGTATATGTATTTTGAACGCAAACACGGACTCGCACTCACCCCACTCACACTCACTCACCCACCACTCACTCACTCACTCCACTCACTCACTCTCACTCACACCACACTTCAACTCACCCACTCATTCACTCACTCACTCGCCCCCCTTTCTCTCTCTCTCTCTCTCTCTCTCTCTCTCTTCTCTCTCGCTCTCTCTCTCTCTCTCTCTCTCTCTCTCTCTCTCTCTCTCAGGCGAGAACGGATTTCCTTATATATATATATATATATATATATATAATATACCTATATATATATTATATAGTAATATATATATATAAACACGGTAAAAGTCAAAGCAAGCAAGGCAAAATTTCGACACCGAATAATATGGTTTGCAAAACGTCACGAACACCCACGACATGTGTTGAAGCGAATAAGGCAGAAGAAAGATGAAGGAATATAGTGAAGAAGAAAGAAAGAGAGAGAGGAGAGAGAGAGAGAGAGAGAAGAAGAGAAGAGAGAAAAGAAGAGAAGAGAGAGAAAGAGAAAAGAGAGAAGAGAGAGAAAGAGAAAGAAAGAAGAAAGAAAAAGAATGAAAAAAAAAGAAAAGAAAGATAGAAAGAAAAAAACTAACCCAAAATTCACTCGTTATTCATTAGCTCAGAAATTTACTTTAGAGATTACGGAATGCATTGAAAATCACGTCACTTTAACTAACACTTATCGTCACCATTTTCCTAATCCTCCTCCTCCTCCTCATCATCATCATCAATCAACACCACCACCACACCTACGATCCTCCTCACAATCACCACCAGCGCACCATCAACCCACCACCCCCACCACCCCCCACCCACGCACCACCCTCCCTCACACCCCAACCCTCTCCCTCCCCATCCCACCAACCCCACCCCACCAACCCTCCCCCCCACCCACCCACCAACCTTCCCCTCCACCCCCACCCACCCACCCACCCACCAACCCTTCCCAACCCCACCCCCCTCCCACACCCACCGTTTCCCCTACGTACGTACCACTTGCTTGGGCGTGCAGTCGTAAGGCAGACCTCGCATGCGGATGATGACCTGGCCACCGCGAGAGAGGAACTGCTGGGCTTCATTGTTGCTTCCTGGGAATAAAAAAAGAAGAAAAATTAGGGGTTGGATTGGATTCGCTGGGGGAAGGGGAGAAGGGAGAGAGAGGGAGGGGGAGAGCAAGAGAGAGGGGGGGGAGAGAGAGAGAGGGAGAGAGAGAGAGAGAGAGAGAGAGAGAGAGAGAGAGAGAGAGAGAGAGAGAGAGAGAGAGAGAGAGAGAGAGAGAGAGAGAGAGAGAGAGAGAGAGAGATCTTAAAATATAATACAATGACTCAAAATTCGTAGCAAATACATCTAATCATAACACCAAAATGATGAAATAGCTACAACAATCTAATGGTCCATAAAACCCAGAATTAACATATCCAAAACATTAAGGTCACCCCATAACAAGTTTTAATCATCATTTCCCCTAAAAGTTCAAATCACCTTTTCGTTAAGCATTAAGACATATTACTCCGGTAAAATAGTTGCAGAATTGCCTTCGATAATTTCCCACACAATTCTCACAAAAAAGAGAACAGCAGCGTCATGTTAATAAGAAAATACAAAACAAAATAAAATAAAAATAAAACAAGTACGTGTTCCTAGCCCAGCGTGTGCTTTGTGTACGTCTTCGCTCATGTACATAACCATCCATGTACGTATTCGCTCACGTATGTAGTCATCCGTGTGCGTATTCATATTTAAGTCCACAGCACATCAACCGGAACGCGACCCAGACAATAAAATCTACACCATCACTTTTATTTACATTTTTTGGTAACCGCAAACAGACGCAATATCAACATTAATTTTCTTTCACTATACTTTAGCAGACAGAGCTTCGAGTTGCTTGTTTGAATGGAAAGAGGGAGTCAATGAAACAGGTATGGTGAAAAGGAAGAAGGGAAGAAAGGAAGAGGAGAAATGGAGGGGGAGGGAGGAGAAAGAGAGGGAAGGGGAGAAACCGGGGAGTGAAAAGAGAGAGGGGGAGAAATGGGGGAGAGAGAAGAGTGGGAGGGGAGAATCGGGGAGTGAAAAGAGGGAGGAAAGAGAAGGAGAGAGGGGGAGATGAGGAAGAGATGGATAAACAGACAAATAGATTCTGTTTAATATAAATATAAATAGGACGAGTAAGATTGTGCGAGGAAGTGGGATGGAAAGGCGATATACGTATAAAATGAAAGTGTGAATAGGAGGAATATCTTTAAACTATATATCTCTCTATATTTTATCCTCGCATACAAAAAAAAATCAATAATGTCTAGATATACAAATCTATACAGAAAATGATGTACAGGCAAACCGACATGTAAATATATACAGAGAGAGATATTACAAGGTAACTTTCAGTAGGAGGACAGGGGACCTCCCCGGTTGCTGATAATCCCCAAAGTCGTTATCAATTACCTCTGTTGTAATCTTTTATCAGCGAGAAGTGATTGTTCGACTACATGCAGGCTCGCCTATAGACTCCCTTCCCCGTGCATCTCGCCTAACAAAAGTCAAAGCCCAGATACCGCTTGCAACAATGAAAAAGATCGTTCTTTGATAGCGAAAGACTGCTTGAACTATTCTGAAAAATGGTAATGCTTGTTTACAGTGAAGCACGCCGTTTCTCTCTCTACAGAGTCGAGTCTCGTCACTGGTAAAAACGGAATGAAAACGAATGGAACGCGTCCGAGATCCAATGAATCGAATCGACGTACCAGACCGGCTACACTCAGAATCCGAACCGCTGCTCGACGGCGTGTGAAATGAACCAAAGAACCCCGAGATTTTCCCTATTTGGAAATTCTAAATTCAACGTCAGCGTGACTCCGATACAGGATTTGATACTATCTAATCAGATACTGCTGTGAAAACAAATGATCTGGTGGAAATCGAGGACCTGGGTATATTCTCTAGTATTTCCAAGACTACAACCTTTTTACTTGTCGCGTCGTTATGTGAGGAACATTACAAACAGACAGACAAATACGCAAACACACATACTAACTCGTTCACTCATTCTCATTCACTCGCCCCCCCCCCCCTCACTCACTCACTCTCCCGCAAGAGACGCAGGCGCCGCAGGACCTTCGGCATCGTTTATTAATGGCGGAACAGGTTGCGCGGCGCGGGTACGATGACCCTCGGCCGCGCAGCCGCCGAGCGCCGCGCGCCTCCTGCTTAGTCCTCCGGCCGAGACCAGACACGAGGCCGCCCGTCCGTCCCGGCGGAGCGGACACGCGGGCGCCGATTCCCAGATGATAGCTACTTACGGATAACGTTCATCATGCGCATTGTTTGCTGCATGGCTGCGTGCTGCATGTTGAGCTGGATGTTCATGGTCATGGTCTCGGGCGGGATGGGCGGGAGGTGCGTCCCGCTGCCGAGCTCCCACTCCACTCCCGCCCCCGCCCGTGCTCCGCCCGCGGCCGCTCTTCTCGGACATGGCGGCGGTCCGCACTCGCGTGTTGCCAAGGTACGACTCGGGTTGACGACCCACGCAGAAGAGGGAACGTGTCCAGGGTCGTGATCAGTTCATCGACGACGCAGCCCTGGCCGCACTGCTTCAGGCTCGCGGCTTGTTTATCTATTTTTTTCAAGCAAAGCAACAGCTGACGTCTATTTCTCCGACGTCTGTGATACGAGCACAGCTGGTCCCTCCCGTGCTTTGAGGCAGAGGAAGACGCCGGCGGTCGAAGCAGCGTTCCGTCGACGCCCGCGATGCACTTCCTCCCAACGGCTTTCACGTCGCTCGCCGGATCACGTCTCCAGCGGCATCGCACTCCAGGGCCGCTTCCCTCGCAGATCCTTCCTTCCTTCTTGCCTGCGTGCTTGCTCCCTCGCTTCCTCCGCCGTGCAGGCAAACGCACCCGACCAGAGCAACCAGGAAGCGCCTTCACACACGCGCACTACGCACACGACGAACAACGAGCACACCGGCAGCGTGTCCAGCAGGAGTCTGGCTCGCTCTCGGGGCCGGGTGAAAGTACGCGCATTACCTGCTTTTATCTCTCTTTATCGCGCTTATCACGTGGGCACGCGGAGGGTAGCGGATAAACCAAATCAGTCCCATGGCTGAAGCCGCCCACTTACGCGCTACAGCAGCCCCCAACAAAGCCAACGACGCATCTACAGCACGCTACGATCCGAGTGAAGTAAGTGGAAAGGGCGTCGCGACAGACCCTGGCGTAGAAACCCATCGACGTCGACAGGGCAAAAGCAGCCACCTCACTCTGGCCAACCTACCTGATAAGCATTAAGAAGATTAACTTGGTTTGAAGAGGACGATGCCAAGGACTGTTACAGGATGGGTGGGTGGGGGTGGGGGTGGGGGCGGGGGCTGTGTCGAAGGTCTGTCCGAATGCGATGGGACAGGCAATCGGCAAATCAGTGTGCAGTGAAGGAACACGTCAGAAACGTTGGTTTTCCTGCGTTTGAGTCGACGGTCTCAAAAGCTGGAAGCGTCTCTAAATAATGTAAGAGACGTCTAGTAAAGCTGTATCAGATGTCGAAAACTAGGATTGCTGAATTGTGAAAGTGCGCTCGACGCTTCGACTTTATTCACCTTTTACTGGCCGAACGGATCAGTCAAATAATTCCACTGCACAAACGGACACACAAATATCCTCACATTACGAAATTCTCTCCCACTGCCACCGTAAATCACCAGCCGCAAGGCGCAAACGCGATTAGAATAGTCTACCTTAACAAGCCCCTACCTCCAGAACACGAAAGAAAACGGTCGAATCTCAAAGCAAACTCAATAAAAACAAAAACAAAAAACTCGCTCGAGCCGACGAATCCCGTTAAGTCTTACGCTCCAAACCGTCAGTACTCTTCGCAACGACGATCCAAGGCAATCGCTCTGTTGCGAAACCACCAGGTGCAATCATGCTCTGCGGGATTTGGTCTCATTGATAATCGAGAAGCGCGCCCTGCCAACGTGGTCAGCTGATCTCACTGCTAATTGGATGACAGATTACAAATGAAGCGTGCGGTGATCAGGTCATGGGGGGGGGGGGGGCGGAAGATAGAAGAGGGGATGGATGGATGGATGAATGTAGAAAGGGGTGGGGAGGAGGAGAAGAGAAATGCGAAGGAGAGACCACAGATAGAGGGGGAAATAAGCGTAAATCCGTGTATTTCAAACGAATACGTACACACAAAATCACTCCAACCACTTATACATATGCGCATCTATTTCTTCCGTATTTCTCGTTCCCCATTTATCTCTTACAAATAGACACCCTTCCTTTCCGTCTATGTATATATAAATCTATCTATCTATAAGTACATCAATACAACGCACCCTTTCTATCTCACTCCTTAACACCACCTCCCACATCGCTCACCCTCTATCCCCTCTTTCTTCCCACTCCTACCCCCCCAAACCTCCTACCTCCACCTCTAACCCACCTCAACTCCCATTCCCACTCCTACATCTACCCTACCCCACCAATCTACCTAGACCCCTAACTCCATCAATCCATCCCCTACCCCCCTATCCCCTATCTCTATCCCCTCCAACCCAACCTTCCCCCACAATCACCTACCCCTACCTCTACCCCACCAATCCAACCTCTACCCTTATCTCCACCCCCTCCAACCTCTCTCCACCTCTAAACCCCTACCCTTATCTCCATCCCTCTCACCAACCCCTCCACCACCAGTAGCCCCGACGACCCCCTCCAACCACTCCTCCACCTCCCCCACCCAGCAGCCCTCCGACGACCCCTCCAAACCCCTCCCTCCACCACTACCCCTCCCTCCCCCACCCAGCAGCTTCCGACGACCCCTCCAACCCCCCCCCCCCCACCCAGCAGCCTCCGACGACCCCTCCAACCCCTCCCTCAACCTCCACCCCTCCCCCCACCCAGCAGCTCCGACGACCCCTCCAACCCCCTGCCCCACCCCAACCCCACCCAAGCCACGACCCTCCAACAGCCTCCGACGACCCCTCCACCCCCTCCCCCACCCAGCAGCCTCCGACGACCCCCGAGGACCCGAGCGAGGACCTTGGACGCCAGGCGCGGCGACGGGGATCCCTCGGCGCGCGCTGGACCCTCCAAGGCTCCCTCGGCGCCGATGTTGCGGGGACCGAATATCCTTCGGTAAACAGTGCGTGCTTGGTTCGCAATCAAAACCCCCTCCCCCCTTCCCTTCCCCTCCCTACCCCTTCCCCTACCTACCCTCCCCTTCTTCCCTACCTCCCCTCTCCTTCTTTCCCCTACCCTCCTCCTCCCCTTCTCCCTTACCCTCCCCCTCCCTTCTTCCCCTACCCTCCCCCTCTCTCTTCCCCCCTTCTCCTTCCCCTTCTTCCCACTACCCTCCCCCTACCCTTCTCCTTCCCCCTACCCTCCCCTTCGCCTTATCTCATTTCCATTCCCGTTTCTCTTCCCATTCGCTTTGCCCCTTCTCTCCTCTCTATCTTCTCCTACGCCTAATCTCATTCTCGTTCTCCTTTACCTTCTTCTCTTCTCTTCCTATTCGCCTTTTCTCATTCCCATTATCCTTTCCCTTTTCTCCCCGTTCTCCTCTTCGTCTTGTATTATTCTCGTTCTCCTTTTCCCTTCCCATTCTGCTTTTCCTTGCCTATGTCCTCTTATTCCCTTCTCCATTTCATTTTCGAGTCGTACTCCATGCCCCCTTTCGCTGTTTTCCTACTTCCTGTTCCCTTTCCTTTTCTTTCCCTGTTTTCCTGCTCAATTTTCCCTTTTTAATTTTCATTTTCGTTATCCCGTTTTCCCTCTCTCCTCTTCTTTCTTCCCTTCCCTCTCTTTATTCCTGTTTTCCTGCTCCCTCTCCCCTCTTTTCCAGCTCCCCCTTCCCTCTCCTCTTTCCCCTCCCTCCTACTTCGGCCCCCCCCCCCACCTCTTCCCACTAAGCCGTAGTGCTTGTAAGTTAGCTCTTTATTAAGTGTCAAAGACCACTGGGAATGTGCACAAAAAGGGATGAAATGTAGGTAGTGGGAAAAAAAACAAGACGGGGGTGGGCAAGGGGGGAGTAGGGTAGATAGGGAGGTGGGGTAGGAGAGGCGAGAAGGGGAGGGAGGGAGGGATGCTACGGGGTCGTCGGAGAGGGAGGGAGGGAGAGGGGGGAGGGGAGGGAGAGAGGGAGAGAGGGAGGGAGAGAGGGAGAGAGAGAGAGAGAGAGAGAGAGAGAGAGAGAGAGAGAGAGAGAGAGAGAGAGAGAGAGAGAGAGAGAGAGAGAGAGAGAGAGAGACGAGAGAGACAGAGGAGGGGGTCTCCTAGCGCAGATGAGGTCACAGCATCCGGCCAACGTGACCCAGCTTTCTCCGATAAATTTCTAATCCATTCATTTATCTCCACCGTTGACAGGAGTCTGTCAGTCTGCATTTCTCCGTCTGTCTCCTTGTCTGTGTGTACGTGCGTGCGTTCGCTTGCGACCATGATCGCACGTGCATGGCCGACTGCCACTGAATGGACTGAGACAAGAACTGGCTTAAGCAACAACTTTTACTACACTCACCAACCTGACATATATATACGTACATGCACTCACATGTATATCAGCGTGCGCGTGGTGTGTATATTCCCGAGTGTAAACAAATACACATACACATGCATTCTATATAAACATCCAACGCGCATTAATCTTAGCCTATTAGTCCTGCAGGTTATTCTGTCCGCACACTTGTTTACCTTTAAGAAGTGGTTTTATCCGACGGTCATTTGCATAAAAAAGTGACGCATAAACGGGCCCCCTGTAGGATCATTCAGAAGAACATGTGGAGGAGGAAGGAGGAAGGAGGAGGAGGAGGAAGAGGAAGGAGGAAGAGGAAGGAGGAAGGAGGGAAGAGGAAGGAGGAGGAGGAGGAGGAGGAGGAGGAGGAGGAGGAGGAGAGGAGAGGAGAGGAGGAGGAGAGGAAGGAGGAGGAGAGGAGGAGCAGGAGGAGGAGAGGAGAGGGAAAAGAAGAAGAAGAGGAGGAAGAAGAAAACGGAAGGGGTGAGTGAGAGGAGAATAATGGGAACATAGAAAAGCTTTAAAAAATGGAAAAGATGAAGGAGCCTGAGAAGAATAGGAGAATAGAGAGAAATCAAGAACAAGAGAAAGAGAATATGGAAAAACAGGCGAATTAGAAAACAAGGGGAAGAAACTGACGGTGATAGAGGCTATGAACGAAAGAAAAAAAACAAGAGCTAAAAATAAGACGAAGAACAAACAAAACGAAACAAGAGAAACAGCAGATAACGCAAACAAGCAACAGGACGAAGAAACAATAGAAAAAACAATGACAGGTGTCAATCATTCACTACCAGTACCTTAACCATTGAACAAATTAACGAACTGGCAACTCGTAGTAATTTAAGTTTAAATATTCTTAATTTGAAGGCTATTTGCTTGATTGAGTATGTGATAGCGCATGTGAGTACTCGTTTGTTTTCATATCAGCTGATAAACATACAAAAAATGGATAAAAATAGGACAAAGCGTAATATCTTGCGCAACTGATTACTGATTTTGCAATAGTTCTGATAGCAAAGGTAATAAGTATTGGTAATAATAATAAAAAAAATATTAACCAGGTATTGGTAATAATAATAAAAAAATCAGATAACGATAATAAATAAATATATAATAATAAAAAATCAGTAACTATTTCTTTGTCTCTGCAGTCTGCTCTCTCTCAACTATGGATTTCCTATATATATTTCCCTCTATATTTTACATAATCTTATTTTAATTTCCTTTCTTTCCCCCAAACTCTTCCTATCCCCCCGTTCCCCTATCACCTCCTCCCCCCCCCTACCCTCCTAACCCCATCCAACCCCCTCTTAGCTCTCCCCCTACCCACCAAATCCCCTATCCCCCCTCCCACCCTCCCCTGCCCTCTACCCAACCCTTACTTAGACTCACCCCCCTCCCTATCTCCCCCATCCCCTGTTCATCCCGTTCCTGACACTCATCCTGGTACTCATTCTGACCCACAACCTCCTCATCCCTTATGTTCTCCACACCCCCGTCATCCCTACAACTCCCTACAACTCCCATAACCTTTCCCTCCCCTCCCCTACTACTCTCAAATCCCACTACGACCTCAGATGACACCCTACAGCCTCCTCTCCCCTTTGCCCTCAAATCCCTTATCCCGTTCCCAGAACCCCCTCCAACCTCCCTCCCATCCCCCTACAGCCCCCACAACTCCCCAAAGCATCCCCCTCCCCCTCCTCCCCCCCATAACCCCCTCCAACCGCCCTCCCCCACTCCACCCCAATCCTCCTCCCCACCCCTCTTTCCCTCTCCCCTTCCAAACGTCACCCCGGCCACGTTGATGAAGTCCTGTATTTCTCTCCCCTTCCCTTCCCTCTCCTCCCTCCCTCGCCCCTCCCCCCTCCGAACTCACCTCCGACCACATTGATGAAGTCCTCTATCTCTCTCCCCTTCCTTCCCTCCTCTCCTCCCCCTTCCTCCCCCTCCCCTTCCCCTTCCTCCTCCCTCCCTCCCCTTTCCCCTTCCCCTCCCTCCACCCTCCCCTTCCCTTCCTCCTCCTACATTAATGAAGTCCTGTATCTCTCTCCCTTTCCCCTTCCTTCCCCTCTTCCCATCCTCCCATCCTCCTCCTCCCCCACCCCCTCCCATCCCCTTCCCCCTCCTCCCTCCCTCCTCCCCGTCCCGAACTCACCTCCGGCCATATTGATGAAGTCCTCTATCTCTCTCCCTTCCCTTTCCCCTTCCTCCACCTCCTTCCCTCCCTCCTCCCACATTCATGAAGTCCTACATTCTTTCCCCCTCCCTCCCCTCCCTCTCCCTCTCCCTCCCCTCCTCCCCCCTCCCTTCTCCCCTCCCTCCCTCCCCGAACTCACCTCCGGCACGTTGATGAAGTCCTGTATCTCCCTCCCCTTCTCTCCCATCCTCCCTCCATCCCACTCTCTCCCTCCCCTCCTCCCACCCTCCTTCCCACCCATCCCCCTTCCACCCTCCCCTCCTTCCCACTCCCTCCCTCCCTTCCCCAAAACTCACCTCCGGCCACGTTGATGAAGTCCTCCCCCGTGGCCTTGTAGACCTCGATGTAACGGTTGCCGATGTGGTGCTTGTGGCGCTTGAGGGCCATGTCGCGGTGCTCGGGGGACACGAAGCGGATCAGGGCCTCGCCGTTCCTGCGACCCTGCGGGCTCAGGCACAGGGGCCACGCCGCCCTGGAAAGCAAGAGAAGAGCGCTGTAGAAAAGGGGTGAACCGGGGGGGGGGGGATGATTATTTTATATGCTGTGTACTGATGAGAGAGAGAGGAGAGGGAGAGAAAGGGAGGTAGAGAGGGAGAGGGAGAGAAAGGAGAGAGAGAGAGAGAGAGAGAGAGAGAGAGAGAGAGAGAGAGAGAGAGGAGAGGGAGAAGGGAGAGGGAGAGGGAGAGGGAGAGGAGAGAGAGAGAGAGAGAAGAGAGAGAAAAGAGAGAAGAGAGAGAGAGAAGGAGAGAAAGAGAGAAGAAAGAGAGGAGAAAGAGAAAGAAGAAAAAAGAAAGAGAGAAGGAAAGACAGTCAAGTAGATACAGGGAGTTAGACAGACATCCAGTTAAAAATCCACTTCCCATTCACACAAATTCAGAATCAGAATGGCCGGCGCCCTAAAACCTCACACGAATCCGAAATCTGCGCAGCGTCCGGCCCGCCGCAGAAAACTTGTTATGAAAACAAAGCGGCGCGTCGTGTGGGTTGTTTAGCAATAGTCGCAGAGCCACAGGTGCGGACGGGCCACGGCTGCGGTTTCACAATTTGCGATTTTTCGGTGTATTTCACGCCATCCCCCCCCTCCCCTCCCCCTCCCCGTTGATCTTTATATTTGAGAGTCGTGTCTACGTCGCCTCCTTCCGCGTGAGACGGAGGTGAGCTGTTAAAAGTAGTTCTCGCTCTCTCTCTCTCCCTTTCTCTCGCTCCCTCTCTCCAACACCCTTTTCTTCCCTTTTCTCCACGCTTTCTTTTTTCCCCTCCCTCCCCTCTTTCCCTCCTTCCCTCCACTTTCTTTACCCTATCCCCTTTTTCTCCCTCCTTCCCTCTTCTTCTCCCCCTGCAAAGAAAGCTAAGCCCTCTCCCCCCAGCAAAAAAAGCGAGGCCCTCTCTCCCTTCCTCTCTCTTCTCCTTTCCCTCTCCCCCAGCAAAGAACGCGAATGCTCTCTCCCTCTCCCCAGCAAAAGAACGCGAGGCGCTCTCCTTTCCCTCTCCCTCCCCCCAGCAAAGGAAGCGAGCCACCCCCCCAGCAAAGAACGTGATGTCCTCTCCCTCTCCCCCTCCTCCCCCAGCAAAGAAGCGAGGCCCTCTCCCTCTCCCCCTCCCTCCCCCCCAGCAGAAAGCGAGGCCCTCTCCTCTCCCCTTCCCCCTCCCCCAGCAAAGAAATGTCGTCTCCCTCTCCCACCAGCAAAGAAGTCCTCTCCCTCTCTCCCCCTCCCCCCTGCAAAGACAGCGAGGCCCTTTCCCTCTCCCCCTTTCCCCCTCCTTCCCCCCCAGCAAAAAAAGCGAGGCCCTCTCCTCCTCCCCCCCTCCCCCCCCCCAGCGACAGCGAGGCCAGCAAGAAGCGAGGCCACCTAGCAAAGGCGAGAGCCTCTCTCCCCGGACGGCACGAGGGGAGGCCACCGTCTCATAAACATTGACATTGATTAGTCCGCCGTCCTCGTACGGAACAGTTGCTTACATGGTCAGACACGTGCGACCGCCCCCCGTGCTGTCTCCCCATCGCCCCTCCCTCTCTCTCCCTCCTTCCTTCCTTCGCTTTACCTTTCACCTTTCTTCGGCCTCTCTCTCTCTCTCTTTCTCTCTCTCTCTCTCTCTCTCTCTCTCTCTCTCTCTTTTTCCATCTATCTTCTATTACTTGCTTTTTATGTACATGTGTGCAAGGTCTGTTATATATTTGTCTATCTCAGCATTGGTATGTGTGTGTGTTTGTAAGTGTGTGAATGATTGCATGTGTGTGTCCATGTGTGCGCGCGCGCGTCTTTCATATACAATAATTACAAAAACTATCATCATGAATGTTTTTGATATTCAATCAAATTTTTCTCTTCTACTGTCTTGTGTCGACCATTCCACGTTTTCTGCTTTCCTTCCATTCCACAGTCACTTTCTCATCCCTTCAACATACTTTCCTTCCACCTCTCCTCCCCGTCCCCTCCCATCCTTCTCACCTCCCCCGTTCTTCTTCTTCCCTCCCTCCCTCTTTCCTTCTCTCCGTTCTCCTTCCTCCCCTCCCCTTCCTCCGTTCCTCCCTCCCTCTTTCCACCTTCTCCGTTCCGTTCCTTCTCCTTTCCACTCCTCTCTCTCCTTCCCTCCCTCTTTCCACCTTTTCTCCGTTCCGTCTGTCATTATTCCTCCTTCGGGCACCACCTGATCCCCGCACCTACTGCCCTGTGCTCACCACGCACTCCATTTTCCACTTCAGAATGGTTGTCGGCGGCTTCACTGTCAAAAGCTTCTACAACTTTCGAACTTCGCAACGCAATGAAGAGAAACTCGTGGAAATTCGTAAGAAAGTGTTCGTGGGTAACCGCAAAAATAAATAAATAAATAAAACTGTCACTCGGTCACACTCGTCCCATGGCATTCCACATGGCATTATTCATCGGCGGTCGGGCTGCCTCTTGAATTCCGATCGGCCGAGGGCTGTCGGGCCTCCGTCAAGACCCCGCGAGGATTTCTCGGAAGGCTCCTGGGCCGTTTACTAAGCGCGAAGAGCCGCAGGGGCCCGCTTCCACACGCGGAACCTGTTCGCCACTTACACTGCTCCGTTGCGCCTCATTCGTCCCGCGCGACACACGGGCGACTCGACGCGGCGGTTGCGACTGACCCGACATGACGCGCCGGCCGGCCGCCGACTCGCGGGAGTGCCCCGAGGGACTGTGTCATGTGCCCGCTTGACCGTGTCAGTCACGGGCGACTGACTCCCCTGAACTCGAGCTGCGTGGGCGCACAAGAACCCGCCCGCCTGACGGATTGTTACGCTGCGTCGCACACCGACGGCGCCCGAGGGACACAGGCGCATGCGAGCGCTGGGCGGCCGCGTCGCAGCCCTCGGGGAAGGACAAAGGAACCGAAGGACATCTGAGCAAACCTTGCAGCGGCGTGGGCTCCCAGGACGTAGCTGGCCGGGCTGAAGGGCGCGGAGTGGGGCGGGCGGTGCATCCCGCGCCCCCACCTGGCTGTCGACCGCGGGGGCACCTGCCACCTCTGCAGGGCGCAGGCCGGCCGACTGCGGTGAGGCGACGTGGCCTGCCGGCGGCTGTGGGGCGAGAGCCGCTGGTCGTGCGGGAGGCTGCGGTGCGCGGCCTGGCCTCGAGGCTGAGCTGGCTGCGGGCACGGAGGGGCAGCGGGGCTGGAGGCGGGGCAGGAGGCGGGCAGGGGCGGCGGGCAGGCGTGGAGGCCCAAAGGCGAGGCCCGAGAACAGGACGGCGAGGCTGGTGATGGCGTGGCGCCACGTACACTGGCTGGGCTCGCAGCGCTGAGCCGACACTGCTGCATGGACGCTGCCAGAGTACCCGCGCCTCCGTCATGCTGCCACGACGCGCCCCGAACCGGCGCCGCCCCCGCCCTCGCGCCCTCGGGCCCCGCGCCCTCGAAAGCAGCCTCGCCCTCACAGCCGTTCGCCACGACCTCGGGGGACAAACACTCGCAGCGGACGGGCGACGCGGACGATTCCCGGGCGTCGCCGAGGGCGAGCTCCTGCGCCCCTGGCATGCTCGAGGACCTACTTGCCGAAGGGGCGAGAGGCGGCGCTGCGGCAGGGTGGCAGGGAGGCAGAGATGGGTCACCCATGACTGCCCTCGGCACAACACCTCGATGCACTACTGTCTGCCTATGCCTCGCTCCGGCATTGTCCTTCGGGTACTCTCTCTCTCTCTCTCTCTCTCTCTCTCTCTCTCTCTCTCTTCTCTCTCTCTCTCTCTCTCTCTCTCTCTCTCTCTCTCTCTCTCTCTCTCTCTCTCTCTCCACTAATGCCCCTGGCGTACACACAGCAAACATTTAGCATTTTACAGAAACATGCAGCTGCAGTCATGGCACCCCCAGAGGAGCAGCTCAACAGCGCCCACCGATATCTATGCAATGCAACAGCGACTCGAGCGACAAAGTGAATGAGTAATAGAAAGAAGAAACAAAAAGATCATCTTTGAGCGATAAACAAAACTAAGGATAGGAGATGGCCAAGGGGTGGGGAGGGGGAGAAGGGGGGAGGGGGCCAGATGGATGAGGGGGTCAGGGAGGAGGGGAGGGGAAGGGAGGGGTCAGGGGGTCAGGGGTCGTGCCACGAGGAATCATGACCACAGCGGAAACACGGTCGAGGTCACACAGGCGAATTCGATTTTCTTTTTTTCTTTTAGTTAAGGCATTTTTACCCGTTTTCTCGAACGATCTGGTTAGACTACGAAAGAAAAGGAAGAACAAACCGAAAAGATAAACCGAGAAAAAAAAAATCAAACCGAAGAAAAAAAAGTAAAAAAAAAGTAAAAAAAAATGAACGGAAGGAAGAACGAGGGAAAAAAGGGAGAGAGAGAGAAAAAAAAAGAAGAAAACCAGAGGCAGATGCAGAGTCACGGGCGCACATTCACACAGCGTGTACCGATATTCATCATCACAGCCTGTCACAATACCAAATCACCGAAGGCAACTTTCTCCGCTGCTTCACCTACATCACTCAGTCACTCACACACGCGTACACACACACACTTACATACATACAAACTACATACATACATGGATGAATAGAAACTACATACATGCATGCATACATACTTACATACACACACAGTCTCTCTCTCTCTCTCTCTCTCTCTCTCTCTCTCTCTCTCTCTCTCTCTCTCATTGCCTCGCTTTACTTGTGCAAAAAAGATGGCCGCCGCGTGTCTTATCATTCATTCATTTTGCTTCCTTCCTTTGTCGTCTTTCTTCTCCACTGTTTTTATCCCATTGTTCTTTCCACACTTTCGCAATACTTTTATATATTTTTTTTCCTCATCGCATTAAAATCAAACAAAGAGGATATTGATAATATATATAGATGCAAGGAAATGGAGAAAAAACAGACAACGTAACATTACTGAAAAATCAGAAACAGTAATTCAGTCAATAAAAGAGAAGAAAAATAACGAAAAATATATAAATACCTTAATTACCAATTCATTTACTAATTCATTTGCATGGCAGCAAAGGGGGCAGCGAAGGTGAGACGGAAGGAGAAAAGAAAGGAAACAAAGAAACGAAAGGAAACAAAGAAACGAAGGAGAGAATTAGGAGAGGAGAGGAAATGAGAAGAGAAGAGAGGGGATTGAAAGAGATGAAGAGGAGAGAAAAGAGTAAAGAGGAGCAAAGGAGAGGAAAGGTGAGGAGAAGGGAGAGAAGAAAGAGTAAGAATGAATGAAAAGAAATATTCAGAAAAAAGAGGGGGAGAGAGAGAGAAAAAGAAAGATCGAGAGAAAGAGAAAGGAAGATCGAGAGAAGGAGAAAGAAAGATCGAGAGAAAGAGAAAAAGATCGACAAAGAGATAGAGAGAACGAGAGAAAGAAAAACAGAGAGACTATCTGCTGAGACGCGCACAAACTGCCACCTCAGCACCTCACTGATTATGTATGGCGGACAGCGACAAGGATGTATCACTGGGGGCTTTGGCCATGGGGGTATCTCGGTGGAAACGGCGGAGTGACAGCGGAGTAGAATGAAAAATAGGTAGGGGGGGTAGGAATGAATGTTTGGGTGGGGGAGGGGGTGGTGGTGGTGTAGAATGAATGTTTGGGTGGGGAGGGGGGTGGTGGTGGTGTAGAATGAATGTTTGGGTGGGATAGAATGAATGTTTGAGTGGGGGAGGGGTGGTGTGGTGTAGAATGAATGTTTGGGTGCGGGGAGAGAATGAATGTTTGGGTGGGTATAGAATGAATGTTTGGCTTGGGAGGGTGGTGGTGGGGTGTAGAATTAATGTTTGGGTGGGAGGGGGGTGGCGGTGTAGAATGAATGTTTGGGTGGGGAGTAGGTGTAGAATGAATGTTTGGGTGGGGGAGGGGTGGCGGTAGAATGAATGTTTGGGTGGGGGAGGGGTGGGTGGCGGTGTAGAATGAATGTTTGGATGGGGGAGGGGGGTGGCGGTAGAATGAATGTTTGGGTGGGGGAGGGTGGTGTGGCGGTGTGTAGAATGAATTTTGGATGGGGAGGGGTGGCGGTGAATAGAATGAATGTTGGATGGGGGAGGGGGTGTGGCGGTGTAGAATGAATGTTTGGTTGGGGGAGGGGGGTGGCGGTGTTTGTAGAATGAATGTTTTGGATGGGGAGGGGGGGGTGGCGGTTGTTAGAATGAAATGTTTTGGGGGGAGGGTGGGGGTGTAGAGAATGAATGTTTGGGTGGCGGATTGGGGGGGCGTGAGGGAGGGGTAGAGGTTGGTGGTGTAGAATGAAGTGGGGGAAAGGAAAAAAGGTAGTGGGGGTTGCAATAATGAATGTTTGTGTGGGGGAGGGGTGGTGGTGGCGGTGTAGAATGAATGTTTTGGCGGGGGAGGGGAGGTGGTAAGAGTAACAGAGGCGTAGAATGAGTGTTGGGGGATTATGTGGTGGTTAATGAAAATCAATGAAAGACGTTGCAATAAAAACAATCAATAATCATTAACAATAACGATGGTAATTGGGCAATTATAACCCCTATATACTGTCAATATCCACAGGAAATTACTAGAGGAAAACAAAATCGACACTACTGTCCCTGTTAAAAAAAAAACAAAAATAAAAGCATTTGTCAAAAAAGTACAGTTGTCAACTATCAATAACACAAACAGACTTACAAAAGCACTTCAGAAGAAAGAAGAAAGAAGAAAGAAGAAGAAGAAGAAGAAGAAGAAAAAAGAAGAAAGAAGAAGAAGAAGAAGAAGAAAGAAGAAGAAGAAAGAAGAAAAGAAGAAGAAGAAGAAAGAAAGAAGAAGAAAGAAGAAAGAAAGAAAGAAGAAGAAGAAAGAAGAAAAGAAAGAAGAAGAAGAAGAAGAAAGAAGAAAGAAGAAGAAGAAGAAGAAGAAGAAGAAGAAGAAGAAAGAAGAAGAAGAAGAAGAAGAAGAAAAGAAGAAGAAGAAGAAGAAGAAGAAGAAGAAGAAGAAGAAGAAGAAGAAGAAGAAGAAGAAGAAGAAGAAGAAGAAGAAGAAGAAGAAGGGAGAGGTGGAAAATCTTACGATGCATGCCAGGTCCTCAGAGCAAGATAAACTAAGGGTAAGCACATTTCCTCCCCACTCCAGGTCTGTTTCCCCTCTCCTCTCCTTCCCCCTTTTACCTCTCTTTATCCTCTCTTTTCGCTTTCCCTTCTTTCTCGTTTAATTCCCCTTTTCTACTCTCCTTCTGCCTTCTCTTTCCCATTTTCCCTTCTTCTCCCTCCCATCTCCCATTCTCCTTTCCCCTCCTCATTCCTCTCATCTCGCCTTCTTCTCCTTCCCATCTCCCCTCTCCTTCCCCCTCCCATCTCCCCTCTCCTTTCCCCTCATTTATCCCTTCTTCCTCCTCCTTTACCCCTTCTTCCTCCTCCTCTACCCCTTCTTCCTCCTCCTTTACCCCTTCTTCCTCCACCACCTCCTCCTCCACCACTGCCGCCGCTGGTCGTGCTGTGGTAACGTTTAGTTCCCACACTCGACACCAGATGGCAGCCGATCCACCTGTTGCGCGGGAACGGACGAACGCACGCACGAACGCACGCACGCGCGAACGAAGGCAGATCCAAAACGCAAGAATTCACAACAAAAGCAAAGAAAAAAGAAAAAAAAAAAAAAAAAAAAAAAAAAAAAAGAATCGCCCTTTCAGTTTGCCTTGTGACGAATGGCTCGACTTGGGGTGGACGTTGGGGGAGGGGGGGGGTATATGACGTAGGAAATGAGGGAAAGAAAGGAGAAAAAGCGGATGAGGATGATGATGAAAACGAAGGAATAGGGAAAGGAGAATGGGGTGAGAATAGGATATAGTCACATATGGTGACGTAGATAGAACATAGAAAGAGAAGGACAAGTGCGAGAATGAAAGTGAAGAGGACGGGGACAGAAAATAAAGAAAAATAGGAAAAATTAAAAAAGCAAACAGAATAACACTAATAAAAATAAAAAAAGTTCAAGGATAAAAACAAAGAAAGAAAAAAAAGCGACCATGCCCAAAACAGTGACGACAAAAAAATAATAATAAAAAAAAAAAAAAAAAAATAATAATAATAATAAATAAATAACCAAAATAAACCAAAATTCCTGCTCAGTCGGCCAGCAAAGAGACAAATCGGCCTAGTCCTACTGGTGCAGCCGGAAGACGCCTAGGCCTAAATAATCTGCCCCTCACAGGATGTTTTGGTCAAAGGTGAACGGATGGGGGAGGGGGGGGGGGTTGGCTGTTGGGTGAGCAGGTAGGTGGGTGGTAAGTAGGTAGATAGGGAGGAAGGGAGGGAGGAAGGAAGGAAGGAAGGAAAGGAGGGAGGAAGGAAAGGAAGGAGGAAGGAAAGGAAGAAAGAATTAAGAAAGGGGGGAGGGAGGAATGAAGGTAGGAAGTAAGAAAGGAAGAAAGGAAGAAATGGAAGGTCAAGGCAGCGAGGATTGGGAGGCAAAGGTGAAGGGAGGGGGAGGGGGGAGGTGGTGTTAGGTTGGCTAGGTAGGTAGGTGGGTAGGAAGGGAGGGAGGTGAGGAAGGAGAGGGAGGAAAGAAGGAAAGAAGAAAGGGGAGGGAGGGAGGAAAGGAAAGGAAGGGAGGGAGGGAGGGAAAGAAGAAAAGGAAGGGAGGGAGGGAGGAAAGAAGAAAGGAAGGAGGGAGGAGGAAAGAAGAAAG